TGCAGGGTCACCTTGGTAAAACTTCTCCCTTCAAAATGAAAGCCATGCCCGCCCTCCAGGCCGCCTCTCCCACCCCTGACTCCTACTAAGATGGTTTCGGATGACCTATTTTCATAAATGGCTATTAAGTCAAAGGCAGTATATTTTCTGGCAGACAGGTCTGGTCTGAGAACACCTGCAAACTGCCCTGCAGAGGTTTTATTTTTCTAAGTAAAAAAAAATGGGGAGGGGGTGGGTGAGAAGCACCTTTTATCCATCTAGGCTGTTAGATTCATAAGCGATTCACACAGAAGCCCTGGGAGGTGGGATACAGACTGAGGCTTGACCCCAAAGTCCGAGCCTGTTCCAAGTTACGGCTGGCCTTTTGAATCTGTCAAGATTCTCCTGCTCCGCTTGGGGAATGGTCAGAGATGGACAATTAGTTAGGACCAGCAGCCCTGGAGGAAAACTACCAAAAGGGACAGTGTGTTGCAAGTTAGCCTGCAAAGAAATATAATGGCCTAATAGACAGAAATCTATCTAATGTGATTTCGAGTTCTTATTTCTTGCAACGTTTACCTGTCCACTTTCACTGACTCCTAAAGCATGTATTGCTGAAGGGTGGGGAAGAAAAATCTGAAAAGCAAACAACTGCAAGGAAATGTAACATTACAACCCACGTTAAGTACAGCACTGGACTCACAGATGAGTGACCGAGGAGGGCACCAGAGGCTGTGACCAGCACTGCAAACAGCTCCCTTCTGAGACAGCGGAGTGCCCGCTGGCTTTGGAAGGCTTTGCAACAGAACGTCTCTTCCAGGGCAGCAGGGGCTACGTCCTTTCTTTCTCCCAAGGGCCAAGTGGGTCCACACTGAGCACCTCTTTCCACTCTCAGTCCCGGCCTCTGTTAAGCTGCTTTGCAATTTTCCCATTTGTGGGTCCTAAGTTCCTCAGGAACAGGAAAAACACCTTAGTCATTTTGTATTCCTGGTACCTAAGCACACTGTCCAAGTCTGTGGAAGAGACATCTGAGGTCAGGGTCAAGAAAAATCCTTGTCCCTTCCCTCTCCCTCTCAAAGTATGGGTACAGTGAACACCACAGGGTCATGCATGAACCCCCACAGCCACCAACCTCGTAATGTGTGACTGACCACCAAACGAGAAGGATGAGAGAAAAAGAAGAACATTTTGTGTCATTCAAGAACAAGCTGCATCCAACTCAAAAAAAGATGCCCAGAAGATTCCGGAAGGCTACTTAAGCAAGAGCCACTGTCATTTACATTTTATAAAGTTCCCCAGATAATTCGGATAAGCAAATGTTTCTTGACCAGAGGTGATTTTGCCTCCAAACCTCTCTTGACATCTGGAAATGTCTGGAGACATTCTAGCCTGTCCTGACTAAGGACGGCAGTGTCACTGGCATCTAATGGGTAGGGACCAGGGATGCTGCCTCCACGACAAGGAATTATCCAGTCCAAAATGTCAACCGAGGTTAAAGAAATTCTGTAAGCCTTAAAATAAAAAACCATCGTTCTTTGGCCTTAAAGCAACAAGGAGTCTTAACGATGTCTTCAAGGTATAATAAATGCTATATTCTCTTTTTTTTGAGAGGTTTTTGCTACAGGGAGTGTACGCTCGCCAGAGACAGAGAGACAGAGAGATAGAAAGCAAGAAATCACCCCCTAGGGGGGATGGCCATACTGCGATCCCTTCTCCTTCATTCTTCTCTTGAGATTTTGGGCAAGCACGCACACACATCCAGCATGAGTTTCAAGCTACCGGGTCCAGGACTTGAACTTAAGTCAACTACTGAACTGAAGTAGGAGTCCAGAGCCATAACCATTACACCATCTGCTAGTCCTATCCACTTCTTTTATTTTAATCCATTTCTTCTGTTTCCTGTTTCTTATTTATTTACTTTTAATTTTTGCCAGAGGGTGTGTGTGCTCACAGAAGAGAGACAGAGAGGAGAGTGAGAGAGAAACAAGGTAAGCAAGAAAGCACTCTCCTTCAACCAAAGAAACTTTATTTTAATCTGTTTTGCATATTGGAGGTCCATGTGAGATTTTGTTTAAAAATAGTTATAGTATGGGAAAAAAAATAAAAATTTGCAAAATTGTTCAGTAAATATTTATCATAAAAATATTTACATGGTCCAGTGACAGTGGCATAACTGGCAGCAGACTGCAGTGCC